AGGCTTCTTAATACCTTGGAGGAGAAGGAGAATTCTTGAAAGAGAAGCACATATCATGTGCTTTTGTAATTCACCAAAAGTTAAATTTGTAATTCTGGCTCAAGAATGGATAAAGAAATGGGGGGAAAGATCAGGGAGGAGCTTCCACTTTCTACTTCGAGAGCTATTTGTTAGAAGGAACCGCAAAAGAGGATGCGTGACTTTACTGAAGCAGGCCTGCCTGCTATGGATGGGAAATGAACTAGAGGCAGACAATCTGTTCTATAGTGGTAAGAACAACATTGCTGCACTCAGTAAAGAGCCCTCACATACATAAAACATTAGTGTCTGTGTTCAGTTTTACTTATTTTTTCATTCCACTGACTTTTGTGTGCACGTGTGTTTGGAAATATACTGAAGATGTAAGATTACTAAATGAGACTATTGTGAGAACCTCTGGGATATGTTCATTTTCCAGCCGAAATGTCAAAAAAGCAGATTTAAGTAGGTGCCAAATTGAAATAAAGCCCACGTGGAATGATATGTTTCTCCCACATGAAAGCCCAGTGAGCTCATTTTCTGTTTAATATCATTTTAAGGGATTAAAGAGAATTACTCAATTCCTTTGCCGAGAAAACTAAGCAAAGCTTCCAGCAGATTCAGGATAAACCCATGGAATTATATTAATAGTTGCTGTTGCTTTTATCAATTATATAGTGCCTCTTATCAGATAACGTTCAAATCAAATATCCGGTTAAAACCCATTTTTAATAGAGGAAAGAAGGGCAAAGAAAAGGGAAATATATTATAAAAAGAAACCAAAGTTGGATTCTCTAAAACAGGGTTGAGAAATCCAGTGGCCCTCTAGACTCCAACTCCCATAATCCCTGACGAGGGACCTCGTTGACTGAGGCTGATGGAGTCCAACAACATCTGAAGAGCCACAGTTCCCCATAACTGCTCTAAACTAAAGTTTTGAAGATGAGTCCATTTTGGAAAGAGAAAAGTCTTTAAGAGGCTGTGATTCTCATACCATTAATGTGGACATCTCAAGAAAGACCCAATCAATCCTCTAATTTAGGGCGCCCTCACACTTATTTATAATTACATTTATATCCCACCTTTCCTTCAGGAGCTCCAGGTAGCACAAAAGATGTTCTATTCCCCCACCTCTGATTTTTATTTTTTATTTTATTCATAGCCAAATAGTTATCTAGTTGCTCACTGGGGCTGATTTCTGGCCAATTTCACCAATGGCTTTAAGTTTTCCTAGTGGCTTAATTCGTTTTGTTTGCTTCTGAGTGGGACTTTGGGATCTTTTTAGCTGCTGTTCATTGTATTTTATGGAAACTATCCATTGTGGTTTTATGTATGTTTTTACTTAGGTCACCTTGGCAGTGTTGTTGTTGTTCTGACAGTTCACCTAGAAAATTATGCAAAAGTAAATTGTAAAGAAAGCATGAAAAATTCAAATGAGACTCCTCCTCCTACCTATAAGGTCTACAATAAGCTGCAAAACATTCCTGCCTATTTTGCAAGCATCCTGAAGATGACAGTACTGCCACAGTTATTATGGTGATCCACTTGCATCCAACAGTTTACTGCTAGTGTCCTTCCTTTGTGAAGCATCCAGCAACTATTTGCATCTAGAGGTCTTCATCTCAATAGCTTTGTAAGAGCAGCTGATAGTCTCTCAATATTCCAGAGGGGCTGAAACGTCTATTAATATTTATGAGTGGTTATCTAAGAAATCAGAGCTCTTAATAACACAGCAGAATCATTTTCATAATCCCCTTTCAGGGAAATATTGGATCTCGTTTATCATCATGCTGAGGGGTGTGGGGCTTTTATTTAATCTATAAAAAAAATGAATTACTGATTAGGCATGTCTTTTTGATCAAAGAATTCGCATTTTTTTTCTTGTTCTTTTACAGAGATATGAAGAAATGATGGGATTCTTACCATACTATGTGCATCTATGTTTTTCATCTGTAATCACATGCTACTTAATTTGGGCAAACTTGATTGATTTCAGCCTGGAAGCAAGTTGGGATGATTATTTTTAAAGGGATATAAGAAAACCAGTTTGGATTATTTTCCATCTTTGGTAAAATCACTAATTTGTTTTATCATGTTTCGGACTCGTGGGGGCACTCATGTATTTCCTTACATAGTTCTTCTTCAACCACCTGCAGATAAAAGTTGCAGGTTGGGGGGGGGAGAGACCCATGAAGCCAAATTTAATCTAGAATATTTTAGAGTGGGCAGAATTAAAACCAGAATATAGAGCTGACAGGATGAGCTGATAACCCAGGCTTCCTCAACCTTGGCCCTCCAGATGTTTTTGGCCTACAACTCCCATGATCTCTAGCTAGCAGGACCAGCGGTCAGGGATGATGGGAATGGTAGTCTCAAAACATCTGGAGGGCTGAGGTTGAGGAAGCCTGTGATAACCTGTTGCATGAGTGGCATGAGTGCTTTTTGAAGTTCCCTATGTTGGATTAATGAAAATGCTCACTGGAATGGATGGAAGAAGGAGGACCTTGCGAGAGGAGCAGGCTAGAGAGGATCTCCCAGGAGGCTGGTGAAAGAAGGGGAAGCTCTCAGGTGAAAGCTCATAGAATAGAAGGAATGTGGACTGTTAATTGGCAGAGTCTGTCCTCTGTCCCAGGTGCAGTATCTCAGAGATTAATTTATATCTATCAAGCAACAACAACAGGCCTGGCATGTTACTATTTTCAAAATTGTCATGATGCCTCCTGTGCCCCATAGCTATTGTCAGTTGTAAAAACAACAACCCACCTCACTGCTTTCATCTGCTGTGCATTTAGAATGGGTTAATTTTTTTAATTGAAAAAGGCCATTTTGCGTATACAGCATGCCATATTTGCCAAAGGGATCTGCCAAGACGTTTGGAACACGGTGCAAAAATTCCACTTTCATTAAGCAGAATCGCAAAAGACTTCTGGCTGTTCTTGCTTTTTTCTCCAGCAACCTTGAATCGCTCCATTTTAAGGTAGTTTCACAGCTGTGTGGAAATCACCATTGAAACTGTATCCCAGTGCTATAAACATGTGCATCATAAATAATCACACTACTAGGCTTCCCTCCATTATTATTATTATTATTATTATTATTATTATTATTATTATGTTGGGAGCAGGACCTGGTCACAGAAGAAGAGTCTGTATTCTTTGTTGGTGGGTATGCTTCACCCTCAAATCAGTTCATGACCCTCATGTGCAAGTTTACCCACAAATAAATCTCAGTTCCGTGGGCTTTTCTCCCCAATTTAGTGTGCACAAGATTGCTGTCCAACGGGCTCAAAGAATGCAGTTTCTAAAGATTTCAAGAGAGAAAAGTGCTGCAGTCGAGACCAGGTGCAAATCTGTGTTAGTTTTCCCAAGAAGAATTTATAGACCCTGTTGTAAAAGAGAGAGAGAGGGAGGAACACAAACTTGCTTTGTTGGTCTTCTAACCCATCCTATTGTTGTGGTTTTTCGAGGTTTAATTCTAACTTGCTCTGCATTCCTATGCATAGAGATTGATGATAAAGGTGTTGAAAGAAGCAACAGTAAATATGCTATGGCAGAAGATGCTATATTGGAGGCATTCGGTTAGTTCTGTGGAATTTCTCAGATGATTTGTTCAGCTCCACCAGTTCGCCCCCCCCCCCTTGTCAAAAGGTCCAGCTGGATGCACTTAAGAAATGGGAAATTCAGACACCTGTGTGTTCCCCAGGGCTGGTGGTTGAGTTGGGGAGAGCCATAAATGTTTTAAGTAGTTTTGGGAGGTGTGGGTCTGGCCCCGAGGGTGATGAGTAGAGTGTGACATGGGGGTGAGGGAATGAAAAAAAATGCATACACCTATTGTGATACGCTGGAGGATTTTCCATTGGTGCAGTCACAACCAGGACCTACAACAAAATAGTGCAGTATATCTTCATCCCCTACCAGGAGAGCTCTTCTTCAGGGTACCAGTGACCCATGCCCATTTCTAGGGTATTATAGGATTCCAGATGGCAATCCAGCTTCTTCCAATTTTCTTTTCCAGTTTAGCGGTTGCCCTCTTTAGATAGAAAAATGTAGTCTTATATAAAAGGATGTCACATAGAGGAGGGAGAAAGGTTGTTTTCTGCTGCTCCAGAGAAGCGGACACGGAGCAATGGATCCAAACTACAAGAAAGAAGATTCCACCTAAACATTAGGAAGAACTTCCTGACAGTAAGAGCTGTTCGACAGTGGAATTTGCTGCCAAGGAGTGTGGTGGAGTCTCCTTCTTTGGAGGTCTTTAAGCAGAGGCTTGACAACCATATGTCAGGAGTGCTCTGATGGTGTTTCCTGCTTGGCAGGGGGTTGGACTCGATGGCCCTTGTGGTCTCTTCCAACTCTATGATTCTATGATTCTAAGAATCATAGAATTCTATGATTCTATGATTCTTGCATACTTTGTTGATGTCACCCTTTGGTTTGCCGTTGGTGCTCAAACGCTTGTGTTTTCTCTTAGAAGGAAGGACAGTTCTGCCTCCATTTCTATTGTTCCAATGTGTTACAATCCAGTGTTGAACAATTCACTGGGTGGGCATTACAACTCTGTGCAAGCCAGCAATGCTTTGATGGAAACTTGTTTGTCACTGCCAAGATACTTTGAATGAGTAGAAACGAACACAGTCTCATTTTATCCAGTTTATTGTTTTGGTGTGTGGCTAAGGGGACCATTGGAAGCTGTCTTATGCCACTCAGACTATTTATCAATCTAGCTCAGTACTGTCTGCACAGCAGCTATCCAGTATTTTCAGTTGAGTGCGCATATAATGGGAGACCTAAGTTTGCCACTTCACAAGGTGAGAAGTGGGCTACATTTTTGTCGTAGAGGTAAGATGAGTCACACCAAAGAAGAGATCCTTCTTTTACCTGTCTGTTCCTGAGGTGCTGCTTGACTACCACTGGGGATGGGGAGAGAGACAATTCAGTTCACATTCCAAGCAGAGTCTATCCAATTTGTCCTTTCCAAAGCAATACAAGAAGAGAAATGTAGTCATCTTTCAAAATTCGCTCTTATCTGAATTTTGTGATGCAGTTCTCCAACTGAACAGTGCTTATAAAAGCGCATATGTTAGAAAAAGCATGCATGAAAAATCAATGTATTAGTGAACATAACATTAAAAAATGTATTATAGTAGGGAAGGATGGACATGGAGCGGTGAGGGACACCCGACAAGCTAGCCAGATCAGCTGAATCAATCCTAGTGATCAATGGAGTGACAGATGTTGCAGCCAGTATCACCCTCACATCCATTATAGTAGGGGGAATGTGCACTGGTCAAAACAGGATACGAAAATGTGTTTTACCGTGAGAAATTTGCGCTAAGATGTTGATGAATTTTCACGAGGATCTGCCAAAATGTGCTGCGGAAATGTGGAAAGCTGATTTAGGGTTGGAAAAATACCTGAAACCACTCAATGGGATCCAGAAGCTGGAATTGATGTGGAGCCATTGCAGGGAAGATAACAAACAAAATGTGAACCAGCCCTTAGAATAGCAGAAATCAAGCACAATAACGGAGAGTGGGAGACATTGATGAGGTAATTATCCCTCTCCCATTGAAAAGAAGTGTCACGCACAGGGCTGTAGGGTTTTGTGACAGCAGGAGACCATCCCATGATTATGATGTTCCTTCTTTCCCTTAATTTCTTTTTTTCTTTTCTTTTTCGGAAGGTTTTATGAGGATTGGGTGCAGCTGCGCCTCATCAAGCCTCTTCTTATTTAACATTATAAGGGACCTGATTAGTTTAGAGCTTGATTCAGCTGCTGCTTATGGAAACCTTGGCCCTGCCTAGGATGCTCTTGCTACAAAATTGAAGATAGAAACTCTCTGAACCAAATATAAATGCTCTGCCCGCTGATAGATGCACATGCAGATTGCTCTCCCGCCACCTTTCTACTCCTGGCTATATTTCTGCGATTCACTGTGAATCTGTAGTTTAACATATCTCTCTATAGTGTGATTTTTCTTCCCACTTCAAGAAAGTCACAGAGTAGTAACAAATGTATCTGGCAGTATTTAAAATTCCAAAGCAAAGGCTGTTGTTTTTGCCAACAAGAAATCCCTTAATCCTAATAAAAGCAGGCAGAGCTGAGCAAACGACAGTCAATAGAGGGCAATTTGAAGTTTGACCTGAAAGTAATCTGGATAGAATCCTTGAAAGGGTAAGAGAGATTTATGAAGGAATTCTGGGGCTCACACCCTAAGCGCTCCTTCTCACTTATCCTTGAAGGTTCACTCCCTTCTATAGCAATTCATAACATAAAAACATGAGTCCTGCAGGATTAGACCAGAGGCCCATCCAGTTCAGAGCTTTCTGAGCTCTCTGGGACTTTGGGGAAGTGGGGTGGATACTCTCCAGAGACTGTGGATCTGTTAAGTCTCTCTCTTCTAGTGTTTCTTCTGCTAGCTGTTCCCCATCCAGTATTTCCCAGCTTCTGCCTTCTGAACTATGCCCCTCTGCAAACCACTGTTCCAAATCTATAATGTCCTTCTGCTCCTGGCAAGATTCAGGATCAGGAGGGGGGTGGCAGCTCCCACTATTCTTCCTCAGTGCAGCCCACCTCTGCACTGTGACTAGGAGCCATTATTTTCATTCTCCATGGAAAGCTGGGAACGGTGCTGTATTCTTTACCACTAGTTTATGGATTGAGGTTGCAGTTGTTTTCACAATCTAGCTTTCTTGAAGGCACACAATGGCTCACAACAGGCTCTGCTTATTGAATGCAACAAGACTCTCGGTAACATGGGTGGCTGGGTAGGGAAACCATGGAAAGTGGCTATAAATTTCAGTGGGGAGAGGATGTGGGGGATCTCAAAACCCTATATACAAATTGCAGGTGTTCTTTTTGCCTTTTCCAAGATTTCTTCAAAGTAATCTATTCAGACCTTCACAATTATTCACACTTCAGAATGGGCTGAACCACTTGAGACTACTCTAATCTGGATAGGGTTAACGTTGGATACAACCCAATAGTTTTCTTTTTAAAAAAATTTCCAACTAAATATATTTAACATTCAAATAAGCCATCTGTAAAATAAAAAGGGAAGGAAAAATGATGTGAATAACAAGAGATGGGAACAAGCAAAGAAGATTATTGAGGCAGATGAAATGCTATGATAGTCATTTAGAAAGTATATTCATTACCTGGCCACAAGGTGAGCATTTTCCTGATGTTTGCCCAATTCTTTGTGAGTCAACCATTCTTCCTTACTGTTGAACTTTGGGCAGTTGCAGGGGAGCAGTGTCTGATAATGCAAATAGCTTTAGAAATGAACCATTGTCTGTTGACTCCTATACAGTCATAAACATGTTTGCTGTAATTGAGGCATGGTAGGATTTGTAGCACGACTGAAAGATGAAAACAGCCCAGATTAATGACTCCTCTCAGCCCATGTTCCGACAGCCCCCTTTTCAAAGCACCAATATTACCCACTTAAAAAATGGAAATCTGCCAACATTTGACGTACCGCTGCCGCCGCTTTCGACATGCCAGATGGTACTAAAAATTCAAAATATTTCCTATAACAGCTGTATCTTTGACAACAAAATTAATACAGGCAGAAACTTCCACTGCTGCATGTAGGCCACACTGGTCAGGTTTCTCGCTTTAAGGTCTAATGTAACAAGAGTTAATAAATAGATCTGATCAGCTCGGCGCTGGATGTCAATCATGTGTCCACGTCTGATGTTCAAAACCAGATGCAAAGCTCGGTGTCTTTATAGTTTAGCAGCTGCTCTAATAAGACTGTAAAATACACCTTCCCCTAGAGTGACAATAAATGTGTTAACACTTTCTTGCAACAAGCCCTTTCCTAAAGCTCATCAGCTTCTTGCCTCAAGCTCTGTCTTTATGTATTCGGTGACATAAATCTTACAAGCATATTTGACCAGAAAGCTACTCTTCAAAGTCTGGATAGTGCAATTTGGCGTTTTTAAATCCCTTCCTTTGATGCCAGGAAAAGAAGATCTATTGAAAAGAGAGAAACTATAAAATGCAATCCTACTATACACATCTACTCAGAGGTAAGTCCCACTGACCTCAGTGGGGTTTACTCCTAGGTAAGAGGGCATGGATTGCAGCTCAAGTATACTTCCTTCTGCATAGATATGTGTAGGATTTAGATCTGGAAATTGCTGCCTTTGTGTAAAGCATCATTTGAATGGGTTCCCGGGTTAATCAGCATAACCATGTAGCCTGACCAAAATGCTTAAATTTAAGTCAATGCATTTAAATCATCTTTATCCTGCTGAAGTCAATTGCACTAGTGTCTCAGTTCTAAGCATATTTGTAACATATTTCAGGCTCTTAACCACCCATCACAGATAAAAAGTGAATTCATTTATTTTTTTTACACTTATTCCCTATGACCATTCTTTCTGCCATTAATAAATGAATTACCATTGCTCTGTCTTCAGGAAGGACATTAGAGCTTACATAGACAAATAGCAAGACCATTGGGTCCAATATTAAATCACAGCCTGCCGGTCTTTACTTTCAGCATGTATCGATGTAATACGATATTGTTATGACTTGCAGCTGCAGAACACCTTTAAATTCCCGGGTCCAGTGGGTGATAGAAGTTAATTAAGACTAGGAGTGTCAAAACATAGCTAGACTCGTGTGTATTAGGCCAAACCTGTGTGTATGTAAGCTGTGTATTGGACACTTCTAAATCCTGTAATCAACATGTGTCAAAAGCTAATTCAGCCAGGACTAGCTTCTTGCGTGAGGTGTTAGCCTGGGGGTAAGGACCCATTAGGACAACAAAACTTCAAAGGGAACTCTGTGTGAAACGGCAAAGGGATAGGGCCCCTTTTACTCCACAGATAAAGCAACATGGGTTAGAAGCTGAGAGGAGTTGTGTTCCGTGAGAAGTGAAAAGCAGGAGGCAGAGCAATGGCTGGCTGGAATACAAGGCTGTGCTTATGGATTAAGAAAGACCCTCCTGGAGTGTGACGCTAGGAACCCCTTACACATATGCTCAGGTTGTACATATGTGTAAACAACCATATATCATAAAGACACCACAGTCTCCGCTGTGCCTCATTTTCCAAAAGGAAACATGGATCCTGGAATTCCTGGAATCTCACACCACTTGGAGATTGGAGTGGCCTGTAACAATATTGTACAATTCTATCCAGGGTGTGCAACTAGGTTTTTTCACCTAGAATGTAGGGCTATTTGTTCTAAGAGCCATTGTTGTTTAAGCCACATCCACACCATACATTTAAGGCATTATGATACTACTTTAAACAGCCAATGCTTCCCTCAAAGAATTCAGGAAGCTGCAGTTTGTTAAGGGTGCTGAAAGGTGTTATGGCACTATTCTTCTCTCAGAACTACAGTTCCCAGAGTTCCCTGGGAAGTGTAATTGACTGTTAGACCACACTGAAACTTGTGTCTCTTACTCCCTTATTTGCCTACCCACTCTCTCAACCACTTTGAACTACAAAAACTGGCATTTTTACAACTTCCACATGACGTTTGTTTTGCACTTGCAAGAAACCAGTCTTTTAGTGTTGAATTATTTCAGGTGCCAGCTAAAAGCTTTCTTGTTTGAGCAAGTTCACCAGACATCATCATCATCATTATTACAATTAAAACACAATGTTTTTGTGTATATTTGCTTTTAAAACTGCCGATTTTATCTATATTTTTATAATTTTAGTCTTTTTACTGTTTTTGTTGTCAACTATTTTGAAATATTTTACATTGTTTTATGTAAACCACTTAGAGATTTTTTTTGTTTTTGTTTTATTAAGTGGTACATAAATTTTGTGAAATAAAGTAAGCATTGATACTTCAGAACCAGGGTTATTCGGACTGTATTATTGTGTTTCTCCACACTCCTGAAGAGTGCGGCAATAATTTTCAGGCTGTCCTGAACTGAATCAGTATTATTGGGCTGAAAGATTATTGTAGCCAACTGCAAGGTCAGGGAAAAAGACATGTCCCTTTTCCAGCATTCCGTTTCACTAGCTCAATTTAAGCACAACCCATTTCATGTTATACACATTACAATATACAGTTTCAAATGCAATTCCTTCAAGAGACTTACAAATCTTTCAACCTCTCTAGAAATACTGTGCACCATTCTGGCTGTCTCTCGCTCCAAAAAGAATATTGTACTGCAGCAGGAAAAGGTTCAGGGAAAGGTAACCAAAGTCATCAAGGGGAATGGAGGCTACAGCATTTGATTATTTTTAGTTCAGAGAAAAGGCATCATAGTAGAAGTGCACAAAATTA